TCATCAACTCCAGCAACCAGCCTGTCAAGTTATGTATGCATGCTTTGGTTTCATGCACATGGTTTTCGTGCATGACATGTATGACATGCGTGGACATGCATGGATATGCATGGATGATGGCTGAAACGTCATGCATGCCTGTCTCCCAGTGGCAATTGGAATGTCATCCGGTTGCCATGACCAAGTTCCTGCGCAAACCCCATATGTTTCATCATGCGTGGCCATGCATGGAAAACATACGCTAACAGTCCTGTGCTGGAATTGTCGCTGCAAGGGTGTGCATCACTGATGCCAACTGTGCATCCTGACCATTAGAAAGGTTCAGCAACAGCAACTCTTACCAACAACTTGACAAAGCTGTCCTCTGAGATGGCGTCGATAGACTCCTGAGGTACCTGCATGCTAATACATATCCGTTGAAGGTCAGAATTGTCATTTCACAAGGCACTAGCAAATCCAGGGAACGCACCCCAATACTCCGCAGAACCGCTTCCCAATTTTCAGGATGGTCCTGCATGTTGTTAGAAATGTCAAAGTCACACACACACACATATGCAAGGCACAGCTTATCTGAGTTCATGACAGGGGCCATTTGGAGTGGGACCGCCAGCCGTGCTCGGACATGGGCATCCTGGCGACATCATGACACAGTCTGATTGAAGAAAAAAAGGTTACCCCCCCAACATCCTACCTGATCATGCTCTTCTACAAGAGCTCTCTTGCGTCTGCTCCCTATGGGTATCATGTGCATCCACTTTATGGATGACACTTGGGTTTTAAAATGGCTACAGTCAGATACACTTTCTCAAAATATTCATGCATGTCGAGCTTAACCTACATGATAAAAATATATTATAACAGTATGGCATGTCATCATTTCGAAACAATAATGGGGGCACCACACTCAGTGGGCTAAGGGGCGGCCGCTAGCAGTACCTGAAAAACACAGAGAAGGGCTGAATACCTGTTAATATGTCATCATGTGTGCATGCATGCAGTTCTGAAAGAATTCTTGCACAACCGTGGTTACTCTACCCACCTCCATGCGTGAGCAAAAACATGCATACATTGCAGCTTTCCATGAGTCATTTTCTTGCGAGACAAAGCATAGCAATCCACACATCATATATGTAGGAAGCGACTCCAGCATAAGATTATGTGCATGTTCTCACGCACTGCTGAAACGTCAGGTGCACCCCAAATGGCGCAAGCAGAACATGCATGGTTCTTACCATGCTTACACAAACCCAAGGCAACCCAGTGGGAAGTCCAACTGAATTGCATCCCCTATATATGGCTCCAGCCAGCTTCAACCACGCATCACGCCAGGATCCGGGCCATAGCCTACAGCTCAAGCTCATTGAACATATTAATATATATGAATGTTCTCATGCATGTATGCGTGGATGCTGCATTTTTTGTCATCATGCATGCATACCAAGAAACCTCCCGCGCTTTTGCAATGGCTTGCTCTTCACTCACTCCCATCTTCAGCTGAGCCCGTTTGGTGTTGTGGTATGCGCTTGCCTTCCTTGATTTCAACTGCTTCTGTTCAGGGGTCAAGGTGCGTCTGTTCATCGCTTTTGCCTCAGCTTTCGCCTTGGCCTTTGGTTCAGGTCTGCTACTACTACTGGGTTCACCAGTGGCAGGTGTGCCGGGTTCATCAGTGGCAGGTGTGCTGGGTTCATCAGTGGGAGGTGTGCTGCTAGCTGCTGCCTTTGCCTTCGCTTTGGCCTTTGCCTTCGGTTCACTTTTTGCTTTCGCTTTGGGGGCCGATTTGGCCTTCGGGGCCGATTTGGCCTTCGCGGCCGATTTGGCCTTCGGGGCCGATTTGGCCTTGCCCTTTGCCTTTGCCTTTGGTGCTCGTTCAGTTTCGTCCAACTTGTTTTTCGGTTTCCTTCCCCTACGCTTGCTTTCTGGTGGCCCCAAGAGTGCACCAGCTGCAACCCAATGTTCACAGTCAGGTGGAGGGCCAGGAACCTTGGATTAACACAACATGTCCATACACATGTTGCAAACCAAAACAAAAGCACATAAGACCATGCATGCATGCCTCAATGCAAGAAACATGAATCTGCAACTCAGCGCAATCACCAGCACATTCTTGGGGGTGGTCAACCTTCTGTTCATCAAATTCATGGCCTTCATCATCTGAGTCATCGTGAACTGTTGCAGAAACACCGTCACTTTCCACATCATCACACATGTTGGTTCCAGTGCCAGCTGGCAGGGTAAATCCATTCTTCTCATCAACTTCCATCACGCAAAGGTTAAGGGCAGCCAAACGTTCTTGTGCCAAACGATCATCACGTTTCTGTTCTTCTTCAGCAACTTTGGCCCAATACCGTGAACAAGAATCAGGCTCTGGTGTGGGGAATGACTCAGTGGGACTGCTATCAATCCAAACTGCTTCTTTCAACTTTGGCGAAGCTGGGTCCTCACCAGAGAAACCCGGCACCTCCGGCAAGAACTCCATTGGCAAGGTGTCCAAGTTGTCCGGGCCTGATGTACATGGCAATGCATGGCTACTATCATGGGGATGCTTACACAACATGCACATGCATGATGAGTGCCGGACAAACTGCAGGTGGAGCCGGTTTTGGGTGGTAGGCTTCGATTCTAACAGCTTTCATTGTCGCCTCAACCTTCCTCTTCTTGAGGAGAAGCAACTCCATCTCTTCAAGTTCAAGCTCAAGCTCCATGAGTAATCTACCTTGATTGGCAACTAAAACGCGAATATAGATATATGCATTGCCATATCAAAACATATCACCAGATATGTCTTTATAGATTGTCAAGATGCGCTTAGCTGCCATAGCACTTGGGGGCGTAGAGTCCCTTGCAGTACCCGCTCCTGCCAAATGGACAACCCACACAACCACCCACCTACCCTCAAACACGCACACTTAAAAATTAGAATAGATTGCATGCATGATATCTGTCCTTCAGGCATTTCACCTCGACTCTCCCCAGGGGTACCTCAAGACAACTTTTCATTGTTTTTTTCAGCAATTAAGCAAAACATTTAAACCCACATGATATGCATGCAAGGTACATCCCTTAGATGGAGTGGCTTGCATGCGCACAACTGCAGCAGTCAAGTCTGGCTGCAGCCCCCCTTTCGAAGAGCTACTGTCCTTTGACTGACTTTGTTCCATGTCCTTGGCCGTATCTGACACTGCAGCAGCAGGGGGAGCTGCATGCTCCACCCCAAGAGCAGCCTTTTGCAAATCTGGCCCTCCAGCACCAGATGAAGACTTGGTGGATGCCAGGGTTTCATCTTCCTTGGGAAAAAAAATAAATGCACGTGGATCACCAATAGACATAGAGGACACACTCATGCATGCAATCAAGAATCAGTGTCACTTCCACTAGAATCAGTTTCTTCAGATTCTGACTCCGAACCATCATCTCCTGTGGCACGAACTATGGCAAACATTTGCAAAGCAAAAAACGGAAACATGGACCTGGAATGGGTAAGTTGGCAATGGTGTAGATGTTTCTGATTTCAGCGCATCGCGGACGATGGGGTCGCCTGAGTCATCCAAAATAATGCAGGCTACATACAACACATGCTCAATGCATGTGCAGTGATTAGTGATGCATGCAGGTCTCAAAAATTAAGCAAAGAACTTAGCCACACGTGAGAACGCGTACACCAATCTCATCGCAATTTTCGCATGCAGTTTTGCCCTAATACCTTAATGCAAATGACAACATCATGCATGTGAAGAAACATATTGTCCCCATGTGGGAAAACATTGATAAACAAACATGCATGTCAAAAGAAACCATGCATGCATGACTAACAGGGTCACAGATGCTGCAGAAATCTTGGCCTCTTGGAAGGGCTAAAGAGAAAAATTGGTGCGCTGCCTGTTCAAACATAGCAAGCGATGGTCTGAGCCCGCAGTGTTTGATCGCCAGCCCGATCACAGCCGAGTTCCGCTTCAAGTCACCTGGACGAACAGCAAATGCAAAAAAAACAACGCAAGTATTCTTTTCAAACAGAAATAGTCAACCCAACAACTATACAACCACTGGGTATCCTACTCCGTTTGATCTTGTTGTTCTTGGAAACCTGGACGATGGAATGCTGCAGGGCTCTTTCCTTGACTCCATCCGTGTTGGCCCATGCGGTAGCCAAAAGTGATGCCTGCTCAAAATGAGCCATATCACAACACAAGTCTGAGCCAAATATCCCCTAGCCACATGCATGATGTTGATGATGCATGCATGCATGCATGCATGTATGCATGCATGTTTCATGAATGTGATGCAAACAAGTTTTGCAACGTTAGTGCCAACAGAAAAACACAATGCATGATCATGCATGTTATGAATGTCATGCATGCACAAACATAGCAGAAAGAACACAACAAAAAAAACGGGGCACTCGAAAATACCCAGATGTGAGCCGACCTTTGCATGCATGAAACACACCACGAATGCAACAGCCTTTCGAAAAAAAAAAATTGTAGCAACCCAGCTCGTAGAGCATCTGGCGTGACAACTCCCCACTTCAATCCTGCCAAATCCATGCCACACATTTGACTGAAACATCACTGGGGCAATAAGATAAAACAAATTGCAATCATCACCACTCCTGAGTCAGCCATACCGGTCATGGCATTGGGTGATACACTTTGAGCAAAATGCTCTTGGTGCGGCAGCGCTATGATTTTTCAAAAAAACATGCTAAAACATAGCACTATGTACATGTTGGATCATGTTGGTACCTAACCAGTACTTTTAATCAAAACATGATCAACCAGATCCCCAAAAAAAAACTTGCTCGATTTAGTCTTGTTCTAAAGAATATGCTCGTTTATATTTTTTATGTATCAAAAAATGGTTTGAACAAGTTTTTCTGTACCAAAGGGTGGTCCAGGGGATTTATGTACCCATTGAATCCCATAATCAGGATTCTCTTCATCGCGATGGATGACCATAAATGTCTAATCCCATGTGCTGACCTGCCATGATGCGTAGCCGTCGAGGATGCCAGCAAAGTCACAGTCCAAGAACTGTGGCTGGGCAATTCCGATGGAAGTCCAACCCCATGTGCGGTCGCCTACAAGTGGAGGCAACATCCGCATCGATAGCTGGCATCGCCTGCCTTTCAACAAGCGTCAAGAAGCTGCCTGGTACCACCAAAAAATGGTAAAATGAACTTCTGAACTGAAACTGACTAAGATATACATAGATATACTAAAATCATCCAAAAGGAATGTTTCGTTCACTCTTTATTAGGCAAAAATTGGTCAGCCGTGCTCTCATCGTGGCTGTTCTCAGGTGCCAGCAGACATTCAAGTCACAAAGTCTTGGCTTGGTGTGGCTGGAGGCAAGTGGGAACATCATGGAAAATCCACATTGCTTAGTGAAATCCCACATGGGTATGGATCAATACCTATTAATACCATTTTTAGGGGAATGAACATCCATTTACCAGCTATTTTGATGTTCACCAGGGGTACAAGGTTTTGACACACTGCCACATTTGAGTCATGGTTAGGATTTGGAAAATCATCCAAAAGATAGCCGGACATCCCAACATTTCAGGTTAGTGAAATATGTGAAACATGATCATAATATGATCATTATCATCATTATCATTTCTGGTTGGTGGTTTGGAACATTTGGATTATTTTTCCATTCAGTTGGAAATGTCATCATCCCAACTGACGATTCGTCCATCATTTTTCAGAGGGGTAGGTCAACCACCAACCAGATTTATACATATATTTATACCATCAAACTTACCCAGATTTTTCACAAAGTCACCCAACTGGTCCGCCAGGATAAGAAGACGCAACGCGACAGAATGTCCAGTTGGTCCAGTTGGCCATTGAAGGCACAGCCGCTGCCCAGCCGATGGTTCGCACCTGACGAGACGAAGGAGGTGCCGGAAGGGTCGGTTGCCGTTACGGTCACCGGACGAAAGCGGTGATTTCTGCCATGGAAAGCCATGGAAAAGATATGGGTCAAGTTATGGGATTTTACTAAGGAAAAAACATTGGGATTTGAGAGATTTAAGATGAAGGAACTTGGATTTCACCAGCATACATGGGGATTTGAGCAAAGAGGCGACTTCATGTGCAAAATTGGTGATGTATCATGATGGAACCGACAACAAAAATAGATTTTGGTGTAACCAGAATCAAAATTAAACCACCAAAAGAGGATCATAACCAGATTTCGTTCACAATTTAGAGTTGGTAAACATGGGGTTTCGTTCTGGATGTCAACTCTACCAGCTTGGATCAACCGTTCGAAATCACCTTGAGATGGCAAGATGGTGGTCGTGACGCCGTGACGTCCAAGTTGGATGATTGGACATGGAAAACCAAAACCTGGTGGGGGATGGTTTCATGTTGGGGATTGGGATGATTGGGATGATTGTGGTTCTGTTGGGTTCCAAGAATGTTCTAAGATGTTTAAAAAGAAATGAACATGACATAACCTCCGGAGTCTTCAACCATGGGAAATCCTTGAAGTAGTCATGGAGGTTTCGTTCGCTGGGAAGATAAGCGAACCCATAGAGGGTTTTCCAGCACGGCAACCAGATACCAACCATTCTATGGGGATACTTGATCACAATTGGATCTCCCAGGATATGTTATAGATATGATATATTAGACATGTATCATATCACCACAAAATACCACAAAATACCACAAAATGCCACAAATACTGTTTATGACATGATTTGCCGTCCAGCTTTACTCCAGCAGCAACTCGCAGCGGAACCTGCCTGCAGGCGCTAGTGCATCTCGAAGAAGCCTTGAGATCTTCGCGTATGGCCGTTTTCTCAGCGCCGACTGAATTGCATAGAAAGCTTGGTGCAAGATGTGTTTTTCAATTTCAAAATCCACAAGATTCGAGAGATATGTTTGAATTCAAAGAACAATCTAAACCAGAACCCCCCCAAAAATGGGGGTCAAGTCCAGGGTTTCCGGTTTCGATGTTCAGCTGAGGTTGTGAAACCAAGACACGCCGCATGTGGACAGGCCGTGCAACATGTGGATCGCATGGGAAACGCCATGAATCCCAGCGATTTTGGGGTGAAGCCTGGGGGGGTTCATGGCGAGTCATGCCTAATACCTAGCTAGGGGGCTGAAGCCCACTGTGATTTCATATACCTCCAGTATCCGTTTTCTATGAAAGCCATGGCACATTCAGTTCAATGATGGTTTTTCAATGTTTTTCATATGTTTACTGTGATTAAAAATGGCAGGAGCTGACAGTTGGGGGGTGCCTAATCCTCCCGTTCCGGTGAGCATTTATCAAACGTAGTTGCTTATGACCAAAGGCATGGAGCAGACTGTCACACAAAGCATGTGTTAAATACGGAGTTGGACCTCAAATCGGATTCTGATTGGTGGTTTGGAACATTTGGATTATTTTTCCATTCAGTTGGGAACGTCATCATCCCAACTGACGATTCGTTCATCATTTTTCAGAGGAGTAGGTTGAAACCACCAACCAGATTATGGTCATGCTGCTGTTGCTGCTGCTGTTTCCTTGAATGCATTGCTACTGTACCATACTGTACCTGTTGCCGGCTGCCTCTCAGGGCATGACGATCCTCAGAGAAGCGAACGAAGAAGCCATGAGGACTGCATTGCAGGAGGCGTTAGAGGTCGAACTGGGAAAATTGATGAACATTGGTGGGAATTCACGAGAAAAAACTGGAAGATGCCATAAATATATGAAAAGATAAAGAGGTTTGATCGACAAACAAGGAGACTGTCGGAATGCGGCATTACAAAAAAGATTGCATGTAACTCATGTAACTGTAAGATTTAAATAGGTTATAATAGTTTCGAGCAAACATATAGAGATGTGTACACCAAAAGCAATTGGCTCAGTTCGTTGACCTCCAGTTATATCGTGGTAGAGTACCACTTATTCGTTCTTGGTCGAAGGGGACTGAGATTGCCGGCGGGACTGTTTGCAATGTGTTAGTTGGAGTGGTTCCGTTGGATGAGTTTGTTTTAGTGATTTAAGAGATGTCAACATATGTCAACCCTGATTGCCCTGAGACAACAAACATGGGTTTGTCTGGAAATTTTCCCTGTGATAAGTATACGGATGTTTTAAAGGGATGATCTCCCCATTCTTCAGACAGATCCATCTCACGTTGTTGGCTGCATAGAATTACCAATGATGTGGCGGTGTGTCAAAACCTTGTACCCCTGGTGAACATCAAAATAGCTGGTAAATGGATGTTCATCCCACTAAAAATGTATCTATAGGTATTGACCCATACCCATGTTCCCAATCAATAGTTATTTCCCAACATGTTCCCAATCACTTCAGACACAGAAAAAAATCAGATGTTGGTAAATGTCCCATTTTGGGGATGTGAAATACACATCTTCAAATTTCGGAGATTTTGATGGGAGTTTGATGGGATTTTCTTTCACATCACCTGAAATTCAGTGCAGATTCCATCCATAGGGTGATGTCGATGGACTGCGCGGCCCAGAGGTGGATTGCAAACGTGGTGAAACTTGGCACCTGTACCAGGCTTCGCCAGGGACATGTTGAGTGTAACATGGCTAGAAACCGGGAATCAAACATGGCGACCATGTCTAAGCATATGGATCCCAAGTTTTCAGGGGACATGTCCGACTTTGATATGTTTGGCCGGAGGGTATAACTGGGATTTCACTGAGATCAACATGATCAACGATGAAGATTCATCGGAAGGGTGGAAACATCAACGGGAAAACATTAATCTTTTCCCCAACCGGTGTTTTGTCCGGCGACTCGTCCCATCCCTGCTGCAAGGGATGTAAAATGACAAGTTTTTGTTGCTTAATGGGATAGTGAATTATTATGCATTATTGTGTTTGCCACACTAGAAATGATACCAAGATATCTCTGTTTTTCGATGACTTGAAACATTCCCCAATGGATCCAAATGAGATCTAGATTTAGAATTGATTTTTGGAACCCTTGGAAGGTTTGGGTAGCATCTGATGTTCAAACAAACTGCAGAATCATGCTGGTACATTGGCACCATCAGTCTTACGTTCTTTTTTGGCAGTTAAACAATTTGATTTGATGGCATGTCTATGGTAGTGTTTGTGCGTGCGGTCTCATGTTGTTTGTTTCATGGACGAATTCATGTTGGTGGTTACAGTTGACATCAAGGTGAAGGAAAATGGTTCGTAAACTTGATGGGCATTCGTCCCAGAATGGGTGGGATTCTGCGACCAAAATAGTGAGACGGTCAGTGAGATGGAAGTATTCTTTTCCAGCGTCAACTCAACTCGCCTTCAACCCCCAAAAAAACATGTGTAGATTCTGTGTAAATCATAACATCATCAGGATTACAGAACCGACTTGTTTGGGTTTCAACACATTGACCCACCTGTCTCATCCTGTCTCCATATCTGCCAAATCCTGTGTCCATATTTGCCAAATCGGTGCCAGGTAGAGAAAGGTGTTGGCATCGAGCAGATTTATCCCAGTGTTGGTGCAAGCATCAAGGCGACCGCTAGACCCTCCTTACCCCAAATAGATGGGAAAAGTCGAAGTTCATCATGGGGTAGCCGGGTAGCCCTTTTTGTATTTTTTATGGGTGCATTCCCGGACAGTCTAGAACAATCTACCCTCTGGTTATTTAACATAGCCATGGAAAATGGCCACTTATGGATGGTTTACTATTAAAAATGGTGATTTTCCATGGCGAACTGTTAAATAGCCAGATGGTACATTCATCCAACAGATGGCACATGGCTAGGACCCCGATCGCCCACTGGAGTTGAAACTGCAGACGTGTCTTGCCTCGAGAAATCCAGGGCGTGTCTCGTTGGAATCCCAGGTGGCGCGGTGCTTGTAACATCAAAGATATGGGGCAAACATGGGCAAACTAACGTATAGCTATGGAAATGACCATTTCTGGTAATAAATCATCCATATTCTTATGATTTCTTATGGTCCTTTGATTTTGAACAGTGATTTGTGAGTTTTCCTGGAGGGTATGTCAAAATCCTGCCACGGTTCAGAGGAAGCATATCCCAAGGGTGCCGGGATGACAGATCCAGCGCTTTGGTGCAGCAGCTCAGGATTTGGGGACGAGTGATTGGCGGCACCATCCACACGTTGCTGGGCCTGACTTCAGGAAAAGTACTCGTATGAAGATCACCAAAATTTCGTGAAAAAAACAGATGCCACATGTAGAGTAAGAATTTAATTCAATGACATAAAATCCTACTACGACTTGGTATATTTTCTACTCACATGATGGCCCACATGTGGCTGATTTGTTCGGTACATGACAATAAACATTCCATACATGGAGCGGTAAAGGATGGTAAAGCTATCAGTTACTCAATGATACTCAATGGCTCTGGCACCAGGTCGCAAGAGATTTGGGTCACGGCCTGTGGACGTGTTCTACGCTGTGATAATCGAAAGAGTGGCATCCGACGAAAATATGGTCCGCACTTTGGCCGATCGTCGGGAAGTACCCTCTGGTAAACTAACAATATAACTATGGAAAATGACAATTTTTAATGGGAATACTCACTATAAATGGCCATGTCAATAGCTACCAGTATGTTAAATTACCAGAGGGTAACCAGAATCATGGAGATTACAGACATTGACCAACTGCCAGAACTACTGACATGACCTAAAAAATGATCTATGCCGTAGACACTTAAAATCATTGAATATCACTGACGTGGTTGTCACATCTGCCATGGTCCAATCTTGGGCAAATTAATATATTATTATTATATTACATTATATTATAGTAAACTACCCATATTGGATCGTATATTGGTATATAGTCATGGAATCCATTCATAGGAATTCTTATATATATACCTACTATAGTGAATCCCGAATCATAATGGGATGACAAAAAAAATACTCCGTCCATCCACCACACTTTGACCCGAGCAGCGTAGAACGAACAAGGATTCCTGCCTGGATCCTTGATGGTGGCTTCGAGACCATGCTTCAGGAGCCACTGTAATAGCCATTTCTTTTCATAGGACATATGAAGAATGATGACGAATCACGGAGTTTGGGGCGTTTTCCCATGATTTTCACGGGATTTGGGGCGTTTTCCCATCATTTTCACAGGATTTGGGATGTTTTCCCATAATGTTCGGACAAAAGCGAATAAGTTCATTCGTGTGGCTTGTGCTGATATAGGTTCCGGAGATTTGAAAGGCCAGGACTTTCAACTCATGGATATCCAAAGGGGAAGCCCATGGCATAGAACCCTCTGCGGCAGTGGTTTTGCTCAATTGTACAGACAATTTGTAGATTGTTGCAGTATGTATAACCAGGTGGATGGGCTGAGAGTCACAACCAATATTAACGGTTAACGGTAGGTGCTGGGAAAATACTAAAACTTGGATTTTTCCTTGAACAAATCCATTGATGGTTCAGGGCTGGATGCGGAAAGATGATGAACTATGGTGGTTTCACCGCGCGAGGAACATTGGACCTTTTTGGTGTCAGAAAGCGAAAGCATCGCCAGGCTGGGATGGACCAAAATGATGACGTGTGGAAGTCAGGTTTCAGTGTTTTGGGGATCACTGCACCCACCAATTAAACTATATATATATTTGTATACATACATACATTTGTATATATACATATAATTATATATATACACATATAATATCATTTAATCATATATATATATACATATACATAAGACAACTGTAGAAATCTATATAATATATTTACATGAATGCGGTGTAACAAAGATTGCGGGTCTTGGCTATTCATCCTTAACCGGGATATCGGTTGATGCCATTTCGGGTTTGTTGGTGGCCACGATAATTTCGCTTTAAGGTTGGAGGAACCCCCAAAAGGAGACGGCCAAAAGGGTATTATTTTCACGGTGTTTTTCCATCGTTTTTTGTATGTTTGCTCTAGAGGCTAACTTGTTGGAATTCTTACGTTTCTCTCATTTTTTTTGGCATCAACTAAAAATCTTGGCAGCTTGACACCTCCAGTAACTCGACTAGTGTGAAAACAACACTCTGGTTGATTGCGCACTGGGAAATCAAACTATTTAACAGTATTCAACACTATTATAAAATATTTTAACCCATATATATTTAAAACATATATATATTATTATAATAATATATTACTATTATTGTTATTAATCTATTTTTAGTGTTAGTTGAAATATATCGACCCCTGAGCCCCACCATGTATAGCATGCGCAGGTAGGTCTAGTGTAGGCATAATGTAGCTATGAGTTCCAATTTACTCCAACTTGTTACTTCTGATGCTTAATGTACAGAGTAGCATAACACACCTTACTAGAAGCGTTAGTAGGTGTATGTAGCATGGCCAAAGCTAGCAATGGGTAACCTTAACCTGTTACGCCATTGACGCATTGGCTCAAGCGCCCCATCGGGAAAAGGGGGTACTTGGTTTGTTTAATGGGGTTATCGAAGGATACCGTGGTTGGTTCCCTCGTTCGGTCCCCCGTTTTCACTGGTTATCAGCCGTAAGTGCTTTTTGGGGAAGTCTAATCCTTCGATAACTTCTGGTTTAGGCCCCTTTGTTTTTCCGCACTTTCGTCACTGACCGTGCATGCCCTCAGATAGCTCCGAAAGGGTCGCTGCTGACTACAGCGCGACACCGGAAACACCAGTGGAAGGAGCCAGCGCTCTAGGGGAAGCAGGAGGTGTTGAGAAATTTAATCCACCAACTGCTGAACCGGGCGCCGCGGCCTCCCGAAACTGGGCGGATCTATCTGAGGATATTTTATCGCCCGTGCTGCCTTTTGGTGAGGCACCCACTTCTGCAGATCGAGCCGAAGGACATCTGACAGACGTGAAGGAAGAGCTACATCAGGAGACATCAAGCTCGGGTGGTATAATGATGGTATAGTGAAGGATAACAGCCAGACCTGGAAAAACACCACAGTTGAAATAGTTCATTTTCCTTTTAAAACCAGCTGGTTTTTTTGATTGTATGTTAATTTTCCATGGTGTATCAGGTAATGGTATGACAATGGTAAGAAAATGATATGTAGTAGTTCGATTTGGTATCACAGTGGTTAATGTGTAGATAGATTGGAATTCTCCTGATTCCTTGGTTTCCTCAGCTGAATGCAGGATATCCCAAGGTTGATACAGGGATCCGTTTTGGGAAAAGTTTTTAGTGAATGGTTCTGGTCCCTTGGTCTCCTCATCTTATTCAGAAGGATCCGTTTTGGGAAAAGTTTTTAATGAGAAAAGGGTTGTCTGATTTGGTATCCCATGGTTTCCTCATCGAAGCTCAGGATATCTCAAAGTTAATAGAGGGATCCGTTTTGGGAACAGTTTTGAGTGAATGGTTCTGGTCCCTTGGTCTCCTCATCTTATTCAGAAGGATCCGTTTTGGGAAAAGTTTTTAATGAGAAAAGGGTTGTCTGATTTGGTATCCCATGGTTTCCTCATCGAAGCTCAGGATATCTCAAAATTAATAGAGGGATCCGTTTTGGGAAAAAAATACTTTACTTCGTGTGATCCCCACCATGACATTTATACATTTTCTTACTGGCAAATCTTCTGGCATTCTATCTGACATATCTTCTGACATTCTATTTGGCATTCTATCTGGCATATCTTCTGGCATATGATCTGGCATATCTTCTGGTATATCTTCTGGCATTCTATCTGGCAAATCTTCTGGCACTCTATCTGACATATCTTCTGGCATTCTATCTGGCATATCTTCTGGCATATATTCTGACATATCTTCTGGCATTATATCTGACATATCTTCTGGCATATATTCTGACATATCTTCTGGCATATCTTCTGGCATATCTTCTGGCATATCTTCTGACATATCTATCTGGCATATCTTCTGACATATCTATCTGGCATATCTTCTGGCATATTTTCTGGCATTCTATCTGGCAAATCTTCTGGCATTCTATCTGGCATATCTTCTGGCATATTATCTGGCATTCTATCTGGCATATCTTCTGGCATATATTCTGACATATCTTCTGGCATTCTATCTGGCATTCTATTTGGCATTCTATCTGGCATATCTTCTGGCATCTCTTCTGACATTCTTTCTAACTTTCTTCTGCACATTCTTTCTTCTGCACATTCTTTGTCCCATATCTTCCTACATGAGGTCCGGCAGGGAACACTTGGCGTGGATACTCGCGGTTGAGGTCCGGCAGGGAACACTGGGCGTGGATGGTCGTGGTTGAGGTCCGGCAGGGAACACTGGGCGAGGATGGTCGTGGTTGAGGTCAGGCAGGGAACACTGCGCGTGGATGGTCGTGGTTGAGGTCCGGCAGGGAACACTGGGCGAGGATGGTCGTGGTTGAGGTCCGGCAGGGAACATTGGGCGTGGATGGTCGTGGTTGAGGTCCGGCAGAGAACACTGTGGATCGCGGGTCGCAGTTGAGCAAGGACGACGAGGACGACGAGGACGACGAGGAGGACGAGGAGGAGGAGGAGAGGAGGACGAGGTAGGAGGAGGCGGAGGAGGAGGAGGAGAAGGAGGAGGAGAAGGAGGAGAAGGAGGAGGAGGAGGAGGCAACTGACATAAAATCTAACAACCCTCACCTGGCAGGTGGGGAATTAGTGAATGGTTCTGGTCCCTTGGTTTCCTCACCTTACTCAGAAGGATCCGTTTTGGGAAAAGTTTTTAATGAGAAAAGGGTCGTTTGATTTGGTATCCCATGGTTTCCTCATCGAAGCTCAGGATATCTCAAAATTAATAGAGGGACTTGTGCTTTAGTTGCAGTGGCAGTGCTAGGTTCATCTTGACCGATGTGGGCACAGAGGAGAACTCGGAGGTGGAGCCACTCAAGATGGTTTGCAAGTGCAATGTGCTGCCGAAGAACAATAGACGACATGGTGGTGGTGGAAAACGGCGAGCTGAGGCATGCATGGCGGCGTGCGGATGGAATGCAGCCAGAGTCGGTTTTGGCTTCGAACCTGAGTGGTTTTGAGCTGGCAATTAACTTACCAGCCAACAAGACGAAGCAAGGACAGATTGTGCACTTGGGCTGGATTCATGACGGTAGCTTCTGTTCAAACAAAGCGTAGTTTTAGGTTAATCCTGTTAATGGAAATACCCACGTGAAGCCTTTGAATGATAGGACAATCCATATTTGTCCATTCATGAGAACGATGAAAATGTACCACATTGTACTAAACATATGCTTGCATGTTATCTTCGGTGTATATATGTATGGTGGGTATGAGTTGTTGAAACAACTATTCAAGCCTTTAATCATTTTTTAGGACCTGGAATTGGGGACGGTCGTGAAGCCAATCTCTGTGCATGATAGGATAAAGAGTCAGACATGGGTTATGACTGGCTCACCAATTCCAAACTGGTTGTGGGATAAAGCTAGAATGGTGATAGAACCCGTCCCAACAACGGTTCATAAACATAAATATCCATGAATAACCATTCATAAGAACGATGAATAACCATTGACAATCATTCATCATTATTGCTGAGCATTCATTATACATTTGCATGAGCATCAACGAACATGAATCGTCAACCATCAATAACCATAAGTCGATGCATTCCAAGCAGGCGTATTATAATCAATTCCGAGGATCCTGATCAATACGCTTCTGTCATGTGGAAGGTTCATTCAGGGTGAGCATTGACGATAATGAAGTCATGAATGATTGTGATTGTTACACTGGTGGGTTGACAATCCAACTGCAAGAGTAAGCAGCAGTGGTTATTGCCCAAAATGATACCATGGAAGCGAGGGTGGTGCACTATTTCCATAGTTATGTGTGGGTGTGTCACCAGTAACTTGAAGCCATGATGACAGCCCTGGTCGAACCTGCGAATCATCGAGGATGATCCGAGCTGTCCTGGATGTCCTGCCGGGCTTGTCTTCGGTTCCGGCAGGCGATGACTCGGTGGTCAGTGTGATTGTGAAAGTGGTTGATTGTTCGGAGGTGAGCGATGGTCGCCGGATGATCACCGTAGCAGACCCCGAGGGCTCAGGAGAGAGTAGCTCCTTGGCAGATGTTGGGGTTGTGTGGTGGTGCTCAGTCAGAAGCATTGGTATTTGTATTGCTAAGGTTGGTTCCATGGTTTGGGAACTATGGAAAAGAGTTTGTGGGCTTCATTCAGGCTTCAACGTGACCCTCTACGACGGGCATTCTGAGAACGTGGACATCCAGAAAGAGAAGAGCGTGGGTCTTCTTGGATTGGTGATGAAGAGCGGCACTTTGCATGCCTACGCAAACAGCAGCATGATAGTTGCGGTCTGAGTGCCTTGATGGATGGCCATGCTAGACCTGCTATACCAGAGTGTATGAAACATTTATCGGTCATGAAGTCAGCGCCACTAACATTTAAATTGAATCATGAATTATACACTTCTTGTGAAAATGATCAGATCAGCCGTGAACTAACCGTCACTGAACCACCTACTCTCTAGTAAACCATTTGAAGCTGTGGACATCCGTCATTCCGAAGAGGTGTATCATGTGGAAAGTGTAGATTTTAACCAGCATGGCAGTGACT